GTGCCATGTCCAGTCTTACCTTAAGCGCCTCCAGGGATGGGGACTGCACCACCTCCCTGGGCAGCCCCTTCCGATGTCTGATCACCCCTTCTGTGAAGAAATTCCTCCTAATGTCCAACCTGAACCTCCCCTGGCAGAGCTCAAGACCTCACTGGGTGTTACGGGCCTGCTTGGCACATCTGGGTCTCTTTGGCCACCGACATACCCACCCTGCACGGCACTAAGGACGCCACTGACCACCGCGGTCCTGCCTGCAGGGACACCACTGGGCTCTCAGTCTGTCCTGCCCTGCAACTTTTCTTTCAGAAAGGCTAAAACTCATCCCTAATGATGATTCAGAAGACGGCTGGAAAAGTGTAACATTCAGCTTCCCATCCAAACAGGTCATTACTACCAGTCTCTCCAAACCTGCTGTATTTGGGGTCATCACAATGGAAAGAGCAGTAGAGAATGGGGAGTTAAAAAAACCCACTATTTTGGAACTTCAAAGCATAGGACACGTTCTAGCAGTTAATTCCAAGTCACTGCTACCCTGCATAGGCTGTGCCTTGATCTAAACCAGGGAGCTATTAATAGTAACCCAGGAAGTGTTCAAAAGCAGGAGTGCTAATTCACCCCACTCCATCTGTTTGCATTGTGTGAATGTTTCCCACATACTGAGGACACTAATTCTTCCCCTTGCAGGAGCCACTGATTTCCAGCTGCATATAATTATTCTGCTTTCCTGTTTGTGCATGTTTACACAGGGAATGCCAGGCCCCCAAATCTCCAAATATATACGTGTGAGTAACCTCAGTGGATTTAGTCAGGCTCTGTGCACACACCAAGTGAATCCCATGTGGGTAAGATTGTGACCCTTGACAGAAATGTGCTGTTGTGCTTTACACAGATGGAGATCCTGAGAAGCAAAGACCAATTCTGCACACTGAGAAAGGGACGTTCTTCTCCAAAGGGGAAGGGAAAAAATATCCCACAATATCTGCCAAGACAAAAGACTGAGGAATGAACCACTGAGTCTACAACTGTGAGCTGAATTTGGGCTGAGCATCTACCCGAAGTTCATGGCGTGGACACAGGGATCTTCCACCTGGAGCTGTGGAACAACAGCTCTTACACTGAAGAGGTGGGAATGAAGAAGCATTTTGACCAATTCTCCAGGGTACCTGTCCATGAACCATGCACATCCTTTAAAACATGTGACTAAAATGCTTTTTTTTATTGAGAATGACTTTTACTCAGCTATAATCAAATCTGGTAAATGCATCCTGCAAACAGAGATGTAACTCCTTGAGCCTGATATACGTAATCTTACAATGAAAAGATTAGGTCCTGCACAAGAAAAATCCCTTTGGATTGTAGCCATAAAACATTCTGACAAAAGTGAACCGCTCTGTGCCTTGTTTTTTAGCAAACTATTTACTCAGCCCATGGCTTCCTTGTTCTCCTTACGTAAACTTCCTCAAGGCAAACACACTGAAAACATTTTCCACGGAAAACGTGTCCAACATAATTCCATAAACAAAATAGTAAACAGGGACTGCAAATGCAGAGAGCCACCTCCTGGCAGCTACGGGGAACGAGTCACACTCACGAAGGGCCAAATCTCTGCTTCTTTTGCCAAATAATGTGTTTAAGGACAAGGAACTACACGTGTAACGTGAACTGCACATGCAGAGGGATCTTCTCTAGGCATGTATGGCAAGAGAGAGGATGTTGCTGTTCTCAGAAAAGGAGTAGCCTTGTCTGCCCAGTGCCCAAATTCTGTTGGATGAATGAGAAACCAGGAGAGGAAAGGAGGAGTGAGGACTCTCCAAATGCCTGCAGCCTTTGCTATATCCCTCACATTTATATTATTTCCTTCATAGATCCACAGCACTGTCCTAACCTTTCTATAGCCTTCTTCAGATGGTGGTATTTGGTGTCAGCTTCCCTTTTGCCTTTATTCTTTGTCTTCTGAAATTATTTACCTTCAGAGTTCTTCATTTTAGTAGATGGGTGCATGAAGTTCAATCTCCTCAGAGGAGGACTCACACTCTTCCCAACTGAGCTTCCATCAATTTCTGCTCATGTTTATCATTTTCAGGCAGTTTATGTTTCCTCTCCAGCACAGCTTTTGATCTCTCCCAGTTTAACACTCTGTAAATGCCACTAATGAGCTCTTTATTTCCTCCTCCAAGAGGAAATACAACCAAGATCTTATAAGGGCAGCCTGGGCACAGACTCTTACAAGTACCCTGCTGAAGCCTCCTCTTCCCTACCTAATCCTGGGATAAAGAAATCTGGTTGTGGGTGGATTAAATGGTACAAGCAGAAGTGTGCTGGCTACTCTGGGGGAGACAACCACCTGAGCAGCAATCCAGGCTCACACTGCCCCTTCCACTCTCATTGCTGCTTGAAAGGATGGGGCACAAGTTCACACAGCCCGGATTCCCATGTTTTTCTCTTATCCGGTTCCAGGGTCTCTTTTTACTTCCACAAAAACTGGAGGTATTTAGTATCTCTGAGGCTCTGCAAACTTAAACTTCAGAGCAGCTTCAAAACTTTCCAGAGGGAAACAGATCACAGATGGCTTACTTCCCTAGGAAATGAAACTAAAAATAAATGAGGAAAAATTCCCTTCTCTCAAGCTCTGTGACCCAGGGTCTGCTCTGCTCAGACAGCAGCCAAATGGGTGTTTGAGAAAGCACATTTGGCCAAATGTTTAATGAGGTTTTCTAAATATATCATAGATTATTGATGGTGCTCAGATGAATTCCCAGATCAAGCAGGAATACAGTGGGAGATACAGGAGTAGGAGCTTCATTCCCCACTGTCCAGTGTTCTCTTACCACTCTGCAGTATTTGGTGGATAATGTTGTGTACCTCCATAAATCAGAGAGTATCTCCTCTAATTTTAAGTCTTGCCATTGCCATTTGGTGTCTACCTATTAAAAAAAGCAAAAATAAATTGTATTTCCCACGAACATGGATTTTAAATATTTCCTTACTATCCTACATTCATTTAGCACAACTGGAGCTCAAGGATGGTTGGCATGGCCTTCATGCCATTAAAATGTTGAAAGTGTGAACTCTGTGACATTTGTTAGAAGTTTGTTGAACGAAGAAGTTCTGTCTCACTCCCCTTGCAAATCTTTCCCACAGAAATAGGAATTAGTGGATGTGAAGGAAACTCTCTCTTTACACACAATTATTTGTATTATCTGAGTGATTATCTGGCAACCAAAGTTTTGTTTAGCATGAAAAAAGCGCAGAAAATAAATATCTTCCTTTTCATAACCTGCCTGCCCGAGGGATTTCCAGTGTATATCCAGATGGCACGTTGTGTCAACTCAGGGCATCAGGGCATAGTTATTCCATTTCAGAGCAGGAAGGTGCAGGCAACTGATTTCAGGCAAGGGAACAGCCACTTCCTTTGATGAACTGGGTAATTCTTTGTTCAACATTTAGCCAGATCCAAGCCACGTTATCTACTCAGCTCTCCACATTCAAGCCCATACACAGAGAGACAAGCACATTCATCTTTGTCTTCGAGAATAAAAGCAAAGATAAAACTTTAAACAACTATTATTCCTGAAAAAGATCATGAAATTCTGGTTGCAGGAGGCCCGTTTCCTTCTGCACTGATAGATCACCCACTATCATGGGACCACAGTTTGTTTACAACAAACAGCAACTTGGGGTTTATTTTTAAATCTTTATCTTTGCCTGGAAGCAAGGGGCAAGCAGTGAGCTGAAAGGCAGGGAAGGATTAGAAAGGTGATCTGCTACATCCCCACTTCAAGCCAACAGGCAGAACCTTTGGAACATGATGTTGTCTGATTTGCATATTAATACCTATGATTGTCTTCACTGACTGACCCTGCTATGTGAAATATATCCATGAGATTGCCGAAAAAACCACTGGGAAATACACAAAACATCTACTGTTGGTGTTTGCACTGAAGCTAAATTTTAGATCATGCGCTGATTATAAAAAATTAAACTCAGCCTGGTCATTTCTGACCAGCAGAAGGCAGTAAAATCACAAAATGGAAAAAAAAACACCTGACTTTGCTTCATGAACATAAAATTGGGCTGGTGAGTACACAAAGAAAGCAGGAACATCATCCTTTTATAGGATGTTGAGCTGTAATGCCAGTTTCAGACAGTCGAGAAATTCAAGTCAATCCTTTACAAATCCTGCACTTTTTTTTTTTAAGCCCTTGGCTCCTGATACACCCAATGAGTATTTTTAAGCAGCTTAAGACAAACAGATTAATGAAGAACCTACTTTAAAAAACGCTAAAAAAACCCCCCAGATCCCTCAGGGGAGCGAGAGGAGATGCAGTGGCTCCCATGTGCTTCAGAGAAGAAATAAAGAGGTGAATTGAATCGGAGCACAATCTTGGCACGGGCTGGGCTGGACACTGAACTCCTCCGGAGTGTGGAGATCTGGGAAGCATTTTGCTCTAATGGAGTCAAAAGATACCGAAATAAAAAAAAAATAATCAATAAATACAATGAATGATCAAAACAAAACCCCATAAAAAAAACCCCGAAATCAAAACAACAACAAAAAAACCCACATAAAACCCCCAAACAAAACCACAAGAAAACCACCAAAACCCAACCTAAAACCCCCAACAAAACAAAACAATCCTCCCAAAAAACCCCAAAGAGAGAAATGCTGTTAAGAGGGCAGCTGCCGATCCCGTGACGGCCCGGGGCTTCGCCGCTCTCGCTCGCCTTCCTGAGGTTTCGCCTCCAGCCACAGCCGGCCCCCCCATACCCTCACCCCCACTTCGCCGCCCCCCTCCCACTCTGGCCGCCCCCCTCCATCTTCCTGTTCCTCCCTCCCTTCCTTTTCCTCCCACCTCCATTTCTCCCTCCTCTTCCTCCCTCATCCCTCCTCATTCCTCCCTCCCGCCTCCCAGCCGCACTCCGCCGGACTCACAACTCCCAGCGTTCCCCGCGCGCCCCGCACGGCCGCGCGTGTCCGCGGAGTTGTAGTTCCCGCCGCTCCGCCGCGGCAGGCGCAGCGCCGGGAGGCCGCTGTCTCCCCGGGCGGCCCCGGGGATGGCGGGGGCGGCTCCGTGAGGGGTGAGCGAAGGGCGAGGGGCGGCGGGACGGACCGTCCGCGGTGCCGGCTCGGGCTCGCATGTGTCCTGTGGGGTCGGGGTGTGTAGGGGCTCCTACTTGGCTGCGAATCTTCCGTGGCGTTCCATTTCTGCTGCAGGATTTAAGGGGGGGGAAATAATCTGGGTTTGGTTTGGTTTGGTTTGTTTTTTCACCCGGCAGCTTCAAAGTATCGTTTTTAACTGTCCTCATGTGTGTTTGCAGCTCCTTAAAAATGACCTCCGGGAATTCCTCGCCGTCGTTCTTCCCTGTGGGTTTCGCCGACTGTCGCTGCCGCTGGTTAAGGTTCTTCCCAGGTAGAAATCCAAAGCAAAAGGGCCTTAATTCCTGATTAATAGAGATAATTCGTTTCATAATTGTCACGTTTAGGCTTCATTCATTTCATCTCATCTCATCTCCTATCGCGGTTGCATGGGCAGGTTGCGTTGCTTTTCTGCTGTTAATGAAAACAAATCCTGTTATTGGGGAGTTTCGGGGTGTTTCTCCATCACTGTTGACAAACCATCCCCCTCGGACGGTGGGCAAGGGGGGCTCTGAGGGGTCAGGAGTTCGTGTTTCCATTACAGGCATGTCCTGCTGCTCCATGAGGGAACATCGTCCTGGGAATGTGTATTCAGATAACTTCTTACAAGAGTTATCAGTATGAAAGCATTGCCTTTAGATTTAATAATTTAATGATTTTGTGCCCCTTGGGCTTGGATCTCTATTCCCTGGGACCATCTCCTGATGCTGTTCCATTAATTTTGGTGGAACTCCTACTGATGCCGCCTTCTATTGATGGGAAGAGCCTGTGTTTTCCCAGTGGAATAAGTGTCTGGTTTGTGTTACCGTTCTTCTTGGAAGCCCTTTTTGCATCTTTAGTATAATGCCAGGGAAGAAGTGTAACTGCATTGACCATTGTCTTTTGGAGGAAAATGAGCAGCTTTCTCATTTAAATAATTTTGCCTTCAGGCGCTTTTGGAACTGTAGAGTTTGTTTCATTTCTAATTTAAGCCAGAGGAAGCTTTTATAGGAATTGGCTTTTAAGACAATCAATGACCTCTACATAAATGACTGTTGTTGATGGATCATGTGGGGACAGATAGGACCAAACACACATCCTGGAGAAGTTCATCTTACTGGTTTTGCCATCTAGAGCTGATGATATAGGCAGTCTTTCCTTTTCTACCTAAAGAAAAAAGAGGGGAGAAAAGGTAAAAAGTTAAAACCCAGTTTGAAATTGTTGTTTTCGTCCCTCCCCTACACAATCTCGGCTTGACTCAAGACCAGTCATAGCAGGGTTGTAAGCCATTTTTTATTTTCACTGACAAAAAAAATGTAGACTTCCCCCACGTTTGTGAGCTGGCATTGCTTCTTTTTCTGTCAAAAAGCAGATTTTTGTGAAATAATGATTGGAATAATGGGAAAACATGCTAGAGAGGGCTTGGGCAGCAGAGTGAAACAGTGGATCTGTGTAGCACCTTCAGGCTCTGATGATATTGCCACCCTGACATCTTCACCCTCTCTTCAATTACACTGCCAGTGATTAGGTTTTACTTAAACTGGGCTCCCAGTGGAGAGAAGCGACACAGTTTATCTGTGTCCTGCTTTTGATCCCAGTTCAGTGGGGAATAACACATAGAAAGGTAAATACAGTTCTAGATTCTCCTTTTAAAGGAAGGAGGTTGTCTCCTGGCCCAAGTTTATTAATTAGACGAGATAATTCACTTTTGCTCACGTCATCCTCTGCTGTTATCAGGACTTCCTGTTGAGGCCAGAGCTCTTAATTTTTCAGTTGTCTGTGCAAGGATTTGGGCTGCCAAATATCATCCAGAAAACTTTCTGTATCAAGTAATTTAAAGTAAACCACTGACAGAATACACATGGTGAAGGAAGCTGTTAATTAATAGCAAATTTCCTGTTACAGAAAGGGCAGATTTCACCTTAAAAGCAACCTAAACGGGTAATAATATAGGCAGAACATATACTACTTTTATCCCTGTTTCTGAGAAATCTGGTAAAACGAGACAGAACTCCCTCCATAGTCCACCTGCCCCATTTGAAAGACAAAAAGTGCTTGTTGTATTGTATCCAGCAGAAAAGAACAGCATCTATTCTATTTAGTGAGATGCATCTTCATCTCACTGCTGGTTAAAATGGGTGTGCTCGTGTGCCAGCACAGGTTATGTGCTCTACATCAGTTTGCTGTGCAAGGGAGAGCTGTTGGAGAACATTATATTTTATTTAGCTTTGTGTAGTGCTTTTATTGGTGTGTTTTTGGAATTAAATTATTTTATTACTTATTCATGGAATGTGGGATTGCTTCTCAGTGTCTGGTAGTGGAGGATTCTGAGTTTATTGCTGTTTCTGGCCATGTTGTGCTTAAGTACCTGAGTGGGGGATGCTGTGCCCATGGATGTGTTTATCTTTGTGTTTTTCCAGCAGCAGAACTGAAAGCCTTACAAGACAGCGATGGCTTTTTCTCTAGGATTTGAATATGGAGGCCACAGGGACAGATGAAGTAGAAAAGATAAAATCAAAGTTTATGTCTGCATGGCACAACATGAAATACAGTAAGTGGAGCAGTGTCTGGTAAGATCCTGTCTCCATTGAAGGGAATGGAATGTTTCTTGTCGACATGAATGGGATCATGATTCAGAAACACAACTAATTAATAATAAAAATGCAATATGGCCTTTGAAACAGTTTTTTCTTTGATACTGTAAACAGCCTGACTAAAAAACTTCATTAGCTTTTCATTTTTCAAATAGATTTGCATAATTTCTTTTTAAATTACTTACTTTGAAAACAGTAAATACATTATGTAAATGATGCTTGATTTGCATAGGCTTTTAAACAGGGATAATATGGAATCATCTGCATAAAGTTTATTTTTAAATGTACTTTTCTGGAAAAAATAGGACAGTGTGCGAGATACAAACTCCACTGAAGAATCTACTTCACACCCTTGAGTAATGTCCTTTTCCACAGCTGAACATCAATAATTTATTTATGAACAACCAGATTTTCAAGCGTGCCCTTTACTAATCTGTCCTTGATTATTTTGCTTTCCCTTTAGAACTGAGGTTGCTCAGATTTACCATCAGGTTTCTGATAAATTTTGTTAATTCTCATAACTGAGCCTTGGAGCTGTCTGGCAAGATGAAAAGATACTTTGTTTTCTACTTTCTTAAAGGCTACCACGTGGTTGAAGGGGAATAGTAGCCATTGCACCCTATATGTAATTTTTTATGAGACCAAAACCCCATTTCAATACTTTTTTGTTTTATTCCTCTTTCAGAGGTTACCTTTGGCTTAACTAGATGCTGTCAGCAATTGCCTTTTGGAATACTTCAGTCACAAATTTGTATTTGTTTTGCATCTACTTTAGGTTGGGTGTTGAAAACAAAAACTTACTTCAGCAGAAACTCTCCAGTCTTTCTGCTGGGAAAATGTTACCACTTCAAAACTGAGGGTGAGTACAGAGCACTTCCCTTATTCTAGTCTTACTCAACAGGAGGTCTGTGGATGATTTTTTAATCTTCTAGAAAGACTGTCATTAGCAATGACCAAATTCAAAATGTAAATATGAAAAGCTTAGAAAATACTCATGGAAATGTCCACCACTAATGCCACCCATCCTGATTTATTCAGATTTTGCACTGAAACCTTGTTCTTTCTGTGAATATTAGTGTTGTAATTTGCACTTTACTTCATTTACCATCAATTTGAGATTTTTTTTCTAAAAACCTCCTAGCTGAAATGGGGACAATACCTGTACCAGGAGTCACTACACCAACACCTTCATTATCATTTTCCAGTGTACGGTTTTCTGAGTCTCTCTCTCTCTATTTGACCATTTACAGTTGGGTGAATTAAGCAGTTACTTGCAGGTCAGTGATTCCACTGGCATGGTGATGTCTGCATTGCTCTTCTTTTATTTTTCCTTTTTTTTTTTTTCATCTGGCCCATTTCTGTTACATTTACTTTCCAGTTTTCCTTTCTTGTATTTGAAGTGATTGTTACTTTTTGTAAATTTGCCCTGTTTTCTAATTGAATATTGTATATCTGTTACTTGCTTTCTAATAGGAATGCCATACCAAGTTATAACTTAAAACTGTGCTTTGCCTTCCAGAGTCTGGTGAGCTCTCTACAGATGGGGCCAATTTTGATAAAATCAACACAGAGATTTCAGGAAATGTTGAGGAGTTCCGTAAAGATTTTATTTCCAGAATCTGGCTGACATACAGAGAGGAATTCCCTCAGATAAAGGGGTCTGCATTAACCACAGACTGTGGCTGGGGCTGCACACTGAGAACTGGGCAGATGCTGCTGGCTCAGGGCCTTATGCTTCATTTTCTTGGGAGAGGTGAGTTATGGGGGAAGATCTGTGTGTGGGATCAGCACGGGTGTTCTGTGAGAGCACCATGGCCTCGGTGTATCCAAACCTGAAGTGCAAGCTGGTTTTGCCTCTGGAATCCTCATTGCTGTTGGAATTGTCCCATTGCATCAGTGATAGAGCTTGTCCTACCCTTCTGTTCTGAAAAAGGGAGAACCAAAGGAAGCTTCTGTGGTATTTCCAGTATCCAGCTGTGAAGTAAAATATCGCAAAAACTTTGTGATCCTCTGCCTGGGTATTCTCCTTATCCACGTACATGTCCAGTTCCCTTGAAACTCAGTCATTTCTTGAACTCAAGATGTGGGAATGAGTTGCAGAGACCATAGCTGTGGGCTATGGCAAAAGTGAACAGTTTCTTTTATCATCTTCTATCAGTTTTAAAGCTGTACGTTATTGAATTTCTCCTAGTATTAATATATTGAGTTCCTGGAAGGATTCTAATCTAACTTCAATACATCATTCTCTGTGTGGAAATTGTCACTATGTCATTTCCTCCCTTCCCCCCCATGTACTTAGAGAGGAACTTCCCATTTTTCCTTGCCATTGTCTATCCAAAACACTCCCTCAGTCCCAGCCAGATGAAGCAGCTTCAGGAGTCATGGGACACTTTCTGCTGTCACAGGCTGAGTCTACAGGTCGTCCCTGTTCTTCCAGGATGAACCATGTCCTGCAGAGAGGTATTTTAGGTTCTCATAGTTTCTTTCCATCCTCTTCCCAATTCCTTTCATAATCTCCCACATTGCCCCTTTCAAACACTCAGCCATGTCCTCTGTCCCCACTGGTGGTTGTCAGAACGATCCAAGACGCGGGGCCTGAACCACCCGCGCGTGTGTGAGAGAGAACACAGTGTATTGTTTGCTCAGCCCTTTGTGGGATCCCGGGAATACTTCAGCAGAAGATGGTTCTGAAAGCCTGTTTTGATAATACTTTGCACTTGCTGTGCAAATATGATGTAAGCTGTGAACATGATCCCAACCCAGCTGCACCACAAAGTCCCCATTCTCAGCAGTGTCGGGGCACAACTGTTGGGTTGGCTTCTTGAATGTTCCTTTGGCTGGAGATATTTAAGTCCTAAAACATTTATTATCCCTTGCAACTGACTGCAGATAGCAAAATGTATGTAAATACTTCTGCTGAGAACACAAATCCCTTAAATATCACTTTTGTTATACATGCACTTTGAAAAAATTCAAAACCTGGTCAGAAGACTCCCTGTGAGCAGGGGTGTGTAATGGCTCGTTCTGAAGTAACCCCAAACAAAATAGCCTCAGGTTTCTATCTTTAAAATCCATGGTTCCAAAGAATTCCTTACACTGTCCCCCATGCATCCTAATTTGGAAAGTGATGGGGTGATTCCAGAGTGCAAGTGATTCTGTGGCAATCCAGTGCACAGGAAAATGGAGTATGGATGGTCTTTCTGGACTACTTTGCTCCTCACCTGGTCTTCTGACAGCTGGTGAATTATCTTTTGAAAAGCTTTTTATGAGGTCTGGGCAGCTCTGGAAACATATTTAAGTGTTTACACAAAGTTTTTCATGGCTGTTTGCTCTTTTCCCAGAGATATTTTCATTCTGGTTTAATGATGCTGTTTCTCTTACAAAGCAAAACTTGCCTGCAGTTTCTAGCCGAGATACTTACACTTCCACTGCCATGTGGAATGTTCCAGATATTGCTGAATGATGTTGTAAAGGAGGTTTTCTTTTAAATATTAAGGCACTGGTAGGTTTTACTTTGAAATGCCTGTGCTTAAGGCACTGACTGAAAGATGAAGTTGACAGTGCAGGAACATCCTGTGAGGATGTTACACTGAGCTACATGTGCCTGGGTATGTGTTACAAGTAGTTGTTTGAACTTGTGAGAGAGAATTCCAGGCATCTGACTGTTCCCTAGATCTCCTGAACCCCATTCTGCTACGGGAGGAATGCTGTGTAGGATGCATCCTTAGAGAAACCTTCAGCTAAAAATGCAGGCTCTAGATACTGTGCTGAATAGCATTTAAACAAGTTTGTCTTGTAATCTAAAATCACAAATTTAGTGAACGAAGAAATCCTGCCTATTTTCCTTCTGATCTGCTTGGACATTTTGCCAGGAAGAAGTGTTTGTTTTTACATCAATGATTTCTCAGGTTTGCTTGTTTTTCTTTTTTAATAACTGACAAACCAGAAGAATTAAAACCAGCTTTTGAAACTTCTTTTTTGACATGGATAAAAGGTTGGAAGGGGCTGCCTGGGGAGGTGGTGGAGTCCCTGTCCCTGGAGGTGTTTTAAGAAGAGACTGGATGCGGCACTTGGTGCCACGGTCTAGTAGACAAGGTGGTGTCAGGTCAAAGGTTGGGCTTGATGATCTCAGAGCTCTTCTCCAACCTAGTTGATTCTGTGATTGTCTTTTTGAATAGTACTGAATAGCTAATGTTCATATTTTTAATATGTAAGAGAGGTCTGACCTGTGTCTTGTAACCAGGTATCTCTTGTTTATTCAGCTGACTGGGATGGTGGAGTATCAGATAACAAAAACTCCTAACAACAACTGGGTTATTATATTTCACCTGTCATTCAGCAGGAAATAAAAGGAAACCAGAATTACTGAAACTACTCTGCTGGAATTCTTTGTTTACATTTCAACAGCAACATTTGCAGCTCAGAGGGTAAAATACATAGTATTGCTTTAAAGAGCGTGGAGAACAAAGGGAAGTGCTTTGCTTAATAAAGCAGAAAGTCAATATTAAGCCTGATTAACCTTGCTTTCCTTGCTGCAGCCTGGGTGTGGCCGGAGGCGCTGGACATGGACTCGGACTCGGAGTCCTGGACGTCCCACACGGTGCGGAAGCTCACGGCGTCCTTCGAGGCGTCGCTCACGGCAGAGAGGGACCCCAAGATCCTGCCCCAGCCGCAGGCACGGCCCCAGCGGGGCACGAGGAGGAGCTGGGATGTCAACGAGAGGAGAAACGAAACTTACCACAGAAAAATAATCTCTTGGTTTGGTGACTCCCCACCGGCAGCTTTTGGCCTGCACCAGTTGATAGAATATGGGAAGAAGTCCGGGAAAATGGCGGGGGATTGGTACGGCCCGGCTGTCGTCGCTCACATTTTAAGGTAAAAAAATACCTTTATTCTTTGTTACGTCACAGAGAAGCATTTCAGGCTGTCCTGAGATTACTTCAACCTAGCTGAGCATCAAACTGGTCATTATTGGCTTTGTAAAATGCCCGTATTAGGAACAATTCCGGAGATTTTCCAGAGGCAGGTAGGGAAATAGCATTCAGTCCCTGCACCTACTGCTGAGCTTTTATCAATCTTATTTCAGGAAAAAAGGCAACATTCCTGTTTTCCTGTACGATCCCAAGTATCTCTCACAAACCTTTTCAGTAGAACTGCATTTAATGAAATGTTCTAAAAACTAACCACTCTTTCAACCTTGGAACATGCATAGCATTAGAGGGTCTTTTTTTTTTAATACTGTAACCTGGGGGCTGTAATGTACTGATAGTGTAATGAAATGTCAGAGCTAAAATTGATGTTTTCAGCATTTCTTTGCACACATCAAATTCTTGTGAAACTGTAAATGTATGGGACTATTAATATTATAATTATATCCCAGTAAAAGTAAAGGGTCTGTGACATTCAGCGTGGATAAAAAAAAGTCGAAAGTCAAATTTCTCTATACTGTGTGCCTCGATGTGCCATTTCTTTGAATATTTTGGGGTTTTTTTATAGTCTTATATTCTTATTTTCTTAGTGGGTTCCAGTTTACCCATAAACGGAACCACTACTAAGTCATTTAAGCAGCAGAAGCCAAAGTTCATACGTTTATATGTACATACTTATATATATATAAATAGAAAAATTTAATATTTAGTTTACAAGTATGTTAATTGGAAGTGCAGCTGAACTGACATAATGGGGTATATCTGTGTCATACCTGCAGATTCATACAGGGGTGTAGGAGTTCAGCACTATTAATATGTTTTATTCTGCTTTTTTCTGGTGATGGGAGCTGTCAGAATTCTTTTTGCTTGCTTTAATAAATTACCTATGAAATTCTCTATTTCCCTAATAGGAGCAGGGAGGGATTTTGTGCAGAATTACACTCACCACAACCCCAGTGGTGATTTCCAGCCCTGCAAAGGTTTCCTTTCCTGGATCTTTCTCTCTTACAGCAGCACTAACAATCAATGTACAGCTCCCTCATAACTTGGGAACGACTGTATTAAAAGATTCCTCAAAATATAGTGTGAAATAAAGGGATAGTGACCATTTAATGCAAGTGTATGTTGAAGTCAAAGGCTCATCTATTTTGAACGGTTTCGTTTCTTTACAGATGTTGTCCTTGATTGATGGCCATGGTTCTGATTATCAACATATATTTTCTTTTAGCTTTTAGGCCCATTACACTTATTCTCCTGAGGAGAACCTAATATTGTAATTCTATTTTTCAAAGTTTTGGTGAAACCCTACAGCTTTTTGTGTCTAGTCTTTATTTCTATAGACACCAGGTACTAATTTGTGACTGGTTACATGAAGTGAGGTCAAAGAAAGAGATGAAAGTAATATTTTTGTCAACAAACTTAGCCTTTATCATCAATATACCTACCAAAAAATTGCTATAAACAGAAAGAAATGAGGTAGTGAATAGGAATTCCATTCTAAGTTAATGTGGGATTTGGGGCGCTTTTTTGTGGTTTTCATTGTTTCATTGTCATCTTTGCTTGGGTAAAACATGTTGCCATATACACTGGAACTTGGTATCCAGTGTTTAAAAACAAATAAAAACCCCCACCCTCCACCTGTATTTATCAGGAAGGGGAGGTATCTTGAATTAAACAAAACAACACCCCCCTCCAAAAAAAAACAAACCAAAAAACCCTTTACCAAACAATTAAACCCAACCTCTTTCTAAAAAAAAGATATTATGTTTATTTGCTGTTTATTTTTTTAAATGAGAGATTAATTAAATAGTTTGTATTTCTACTTAGAAAAGCTGTTGAAGAAGCAAAAGACCCTGAGCTGCAAGGAGTAACAGTCTATGTTGCTCAGGACTGTACAGGTAAATGTTGTGATTTTGTGGATTTTTGCAAACATTTTAGATGATTTTTGTGCCTTTCAGTAAGTACTTAACAATAGAACTCTAAAGGAAAATTAAAACTAAAAGATGGGTCCACAAAATTGAGATTATGTAGACAAAGGGGTTCTTGATATATAGAGATTCTCTTTGTACCTTCCTTGTTTGGTATCTTACAGTCTCAAATCCAAGCACAATGTGTTCCTTCAGGAGCCAAGTTCAGCTGCCACAAGTTTAGTTATGTCAGAACTGAGCCCGGGATGGGGCAGACAGGACTCACATCCCTGGGGAATGTGTGTTTAAACATACACTGTTCAATCAAACCAGTCTCACGTGACTTACAAAGACTTAAAATTCTATTAATTATTCCCTTCTTTGTCCTGGGATGATTTTTCCATCTCTCTCAGTTTTTGAGGAATAAGCAATAACACAGCATTAAGTTTTTACCCTCATTTTCAATGACTGTGTTGTGTTAACTTTAGGCAGTGAACTTGAGTATTGATTAAAATCAGTTATTGCCTTTTTTCCTGTAACATGCAGATGTTTCTGTTAGTTGTAGGCTTTCAAGTTTTAATTATTCCTTTTAGAGGTTTATATGCAGTGAATAAGTATTTATTGCCTTCCTCCTAACCTACCCTTCTGCATTTCCTTGGCAATGTAACTTAGCAGCAGCAATGACCATTCTACAAAATACTGCTGAAAATGAGGAGATATAACACTGGTTTTGATCAAACTCAGCCAGGGTTGTGTTTCAGGAGCACAGGAAGATTTGGAAGGGCTGCAGTTTTATTTTGTCAGACTTTGTGAGGCCTTGTTGTAGGTGTGTCTCTAAAACTGGAGGTTGTATTTGAAATTTGAGTATTTTCATGTGTCTCCTTTCAGTCTACAGCTCCGATGTCATTGACAGACAATGTTCTTTCATGGATTCTGGAAAAGCAGGCACAAAAGCTGTAATTATATTAGTTCCTGTGAGACTCGGTGGAGAGAGAACAAACACGGACTACTTGGAGTTTGTAAAGGTACGAAATGAGAGTTCAATCATTTTTCAAAGAGTAGCACAAGGGGATATGAAAAGCAGCTCCACGATGGTAATTCTCCCCATTAAACGTGTGGTGGGGATTTTACAGTTGAAGGTTGTAAAGTTTGACTTTACAGATTTTAAATTTCCCTATTACAAGATCAGACATAATTGCAGAGCACATGATGTCCCTTGGTAAAGCAGTGATAACTGTCCTGCTCCTGCAGCACTGCCTGGAAAGACATTAATGCAGTGGCTCAAATTACAAATGGTAATTTAATATAGCACGACTCTAATAGCATATGTAACTAAGGATCAGGCAGTGTTTTAAAATATAAATATACTCAAGCCCTTAGTCTGCTTCTTATTTTCTTAAATATCAAATGGTTTAGTTGTTGCTTGTCTGTTCTTCACGTTTTCTTGTGTCTTTTTCTTCCCCTGAAGAGAGGGGATGGAATTACTTGATATCTCTAGTCACTGTTCAAGTATTTTCTCACTATCTCGATGAATGTTTGAGGGCAGCAATCCAGGAGTAGCGAACAGTTACCACAAATAAAAATGACCTGGAAACAAGTAAAACTCAAGGAGAAAGCAGAGGAGAGGAAGGTCTGGGCTGTCCTTTCTTTTTCCAACAGGGGTTCTGCTGACACCTGAGGATGTGCTGCAGTCCTGCCTCTTGTTTCTCTTAGGGAAGATCTTGTTCTCTTAGCCCTGCTGCTTTTATTTCATTTTCTATACTGCTTTTTATCTATCTTTAAATTCTTGTTTTCATTTCTAAAATGCCACAGTGTGGTAGCAAGAGAAAAGCTGAGTCTGTAACATTATTTTTTGTGACTGTCTCTTCACTGTAAAATTTCAGGAAAACATTTGGTTTTTACTGGCATGGGAAGACAGACAAGCGGAGCCTTTTAAGTGATGAACTTAAATTGTTATTCTTTCCTGATTATTTTCCTTGTATTTTCAGGCAGTTGGTTTTGGAAAAGTTTTAGTTTTAGCCAGTACAGCTGGTTCACTGTGTGATTCCTGCTGTCACTTCCCAGACCTTTTCCTGCCCTTTGCAAGCTGATGGAGGCTGTGATAAGAGGGCTTTCAATTGCATGAATTAGTCACTCCAGTCTCTGCCTTGACTGGTCACAAGAAGTGACTGAATTTCTTGGAGTCTGAATTTAAGTTAAAAATGCAGATTTTAGAATGTAGCACGAGAGGTAATTTCTACAAAGGATTTTATATTTATGGATGAAAATTGATAAATTTTTTATAATTCACTTTTACAAGAAGCTTCCCATAGATGAAGCAGTTATCCATTACTCTGGCTAGCTTTGCTCCTCTCTGTTCCACTGGCAAAGGATGTGCCTCCTTGGCTGTTCAAGCCTTTGCCTCTGATCTGCCTGAATGTTCTGTGATTCTCAGCCCTCAAGGAGCATTTTCTAAGAAAACCTTCTCATTTGTATTTTAAATAAATTTTCTAAGAAAGCTTCTCATTTGTATTTTAAATAAGCATCACTTTTTTAACCCATATAAACCGTCCTGAATTTGACTCTGTAGCATCTCAGATGGTTTTACTTTGAATGGTTGATCTCTTAGAGGAGAGGATTGAGGTATGTCTGCCAGTTAATGAAGATCTCCTGTGCCTCAGCTGACAGTCTTCTGGATTGTGTTCCCAGTTCGGGCCAGCATCCAAGTTTTTGGCCCCAACACTTGCCAGTGCCACAAGAAACCAACCCACTGTGATTTATGGACATTTAAAGGCTGTCCAGTTTTCAGAGTATTTAATAGTTGTGGGCTTCACTGGCATGGGGACAGTTGGGCTCAGCTTTCCTAAGTGCTCAGTGTTGGCAAAACGCAGCTCCTGCTGGAGTTAGTAGGATAACTGATGGAGAATGTGGGATAACTGATGGAGAACTGTGCTAAGCCAAGACTGAAGAGTCACAACAATTCTGATGAACCTCATGAAAGTGAGAAGAGTAGGATTATTTGAAGGGAGAGGGAGGAAAGTCCTCTGTCCCTTCATCCATTCCTTGTGATAGAAAAACGACCAGGGGTGTTTTCCTTGGATTCTGTTGCCCGTGCCTGCATCCAGAGCTTGTGGGGATAGAGGAATTTTGGTCAGTTAAACTGTAGAAATGTTCTCAGCTTGGCAAAACTGTTGTCTACAGGTAAATCCTTCTCCCCAGCACTAGCAAGTGTATCCATAAAATCAGCATTTTATTAAGTAATAAGTATTAAGTGCTCAGTTGATCCCAACCCTTTTCAGCCTGGATGAGCAGAAATACTGTAGCCCATGGCTGAGACCCCAGCCCTTTCGGTCCTTAGTGGCTCCTGGTTTTGCCATGGGTGGAGGAGTCTATTCCTTTCTTTTCATCTCCAGACTAAAGCAATTCCTGTATTTCACCCCTTTAAATTAGGTGTATTTGTATTGTCCCTTTCCCAAAGGTGCTACTACAGATGGTTCTGGTTCCTCTGCCCTCACAGGCAACATCCAGAGAGATTTATGGGGCCTGTCTGTTGTGTGTTTGTCTCTCCTCCTCGGATTTTGAGCGGCTGTTTTTAGAGCTGGATCTTGTAATTAGTCTTGCTCCAACTGGCATTTGATGTAGAAGCTGATACTCAGGCCAGACTTGTCCATTTGAATGCAAAAAGAAGAGTCCCCAGGGCCCCAGAATGTAAATGTTTATGAAAGCTATAAATCTCAATACTTGGGTATATTTTGACTAAGCAAGTTGTGCTCAATTTGTACAACATTATGTTTTATCTCCTCCCCAAAAATAATACTGCCTATTCTCTCAATGTGTGGGCATCTCATGGAAAGGGAGGACTTTTTCTGGAATATCTGGTATGTGTTTTCACTTTGGTCAAGCCCTAGGAAGTCATGGAGTCAGTCTTTAAAAAAAAAAGAAAATTAATTATTTACCTAAAACAAGTAAAGAGCAAATATTTCAGTTTAATACTTACTCCGTTTAACACTTACTCTGTTTAACACTGTCCTAATGATTTAATCTTCTTGTAGGGAATTTTGAGCCTGGAGTACTGTGTTGGAATTATTGGTGGCAGACCCAAGCAGTCGTATTACTTTGCTGGATTCCAAGGTTAGTGTTTTAATGTGTTATGTCTCTTCAATAGTTTTTTCTCTGAGTTAGGAAGTTAATATCAAACCAGTGGGAAATAGCATGATTAAAATAGCAAAATGAGTACCTTATTAATTCATCACATCTCCCCAAGTCCGGCCATTTGTCATTTACCCCACAGAGTAATTGGATTCTCTAAAATGTACATTTAATTTCCGTTGTTGCATAAACAAGGCATAATTTATCTGTTTCACCAAACTTGAGGAGCGTTTGCTGTTCCTGCCTGGCAGTTCTTATTTACCTATTTGCTCTTCCCTGCTTTAAGTGGTTGTAGTTGATGCCTAAATGACAAGCAATATATTCTCCCTGTCAGGATGAAGCAGCGCGATACATTTTTCATACGCAAACTCCAGAATATAATTGTGTGTTTGTAAAAGTAATTTTATCACCAAAAATTAAATGACAGTTTCATCACTTTATAAAAATTCTGCTTATACAAGCATATTTGATTATGTGAAAGTTAATCTGTCCTGCAAAAACCAATGCTTCAGTCAATGAGTATCAGCCTGGCAAGCAGTTACTTGCTGGCTTTTTTTCCAGCTGTTCTGCATAGAAATTGGATTGTAAGCAGTGTAATAATAAGGTGTTTTTTGAATTACTTGTCTTCTGTTTTGTCCTTGTAGATGACAGTTTGATTTACATGGATCCTCATTACTGCCAATCTTTTGTAGATGTCAGCATAAAGGATTTCCCTCTTGAGGTACTGTGGATATAGACCTGGCACTGTTTTCTTCCCATATGAATCAAACACTAATTATTTAGAGATGTTCTAGCTAGCTGCAGCTTTATGGTTTTACAGTTACATGTTATTTATCAGTGTCCTGCCCTTCTTTATAGGCCTATAATCAACAAAAATGACCAGAGGTTAAATCTGAGTATGGGGTTTTAATTTTTACTTCATTAATCTTCATCTGTTTTCTTTTTAATGATCAGAGAATCTCAAAAATAGATGATCACTTCACTTAAGTAATTTTACATCATATTTGTAGATCTTAAGCCTATTTAAATTTGGAGTTGGTTAGTTTGTCTTTTTGGTCATTTTATTTATTTTATTTTTTTTTCAATTCAAATTGCAATCAGCATCATGGAGAGAATCACTGTGGTATTCAATAGTAGGAACCTGGAAATAGATAGAGCTAAAGGAGGTTATTAGAGAACTCAATTTACAAGTACCCTGGGAAAACATTATCAGTTACAAGTGAGTGTTCAATAGCCCCAGTACTCACAGCAGAAATCCTCGGTGCCATCCACACAAACCCTCCTTGGTCTGGTGTCCAGCTTCCACAGGAAATTCCAGCAGCTCTGGATTCAGTGAAGGAGCAGTCTGTGCTCAGACAGCAGCTCCAGAGCAGAGCTGGATCTGGATATTAGTAGTTGGTCCTCAAGCCATCGTGTTCTGGGAAGTGAAATAACTCCTAAATGGGGAAACACGGCTTCAGAAATAACACAGTGCATTAAATAAGGAAGAGGAATATGCACGATCATAATACCTTAATACCTTAAACACAATACCATCAAATAGTATTTTGGAAGAATACTTTTATATATGTACCCATCAATCTATAGATAGATATCTGAAAGGACTTACACAGGGCTAATTCAAGTCCTAGAGCCGACTTAAAGCAAACACTAGATATTTTTCATTACTTATGCTTAACAAAATGCTTTAATTAGCATGTTGCATAATATAGAAGTGTAAGATTATCTAGAAAATGAGAGTGTTCTGAATTAAGCAAATGAACACAGCAGCAAAATGTATTAGGAAATATCCTAGCCAGAAAGTTTGGTTATATTTAGAGCTGCTGTTTAGATTTACCCTGCTGAGGTGTTTGGAGGAAGAGCTGGTGAGTCCCAGCTCTACCTGTTTCCCTGTGGCAGCAGCCAGAGATGATAACCCAGATCCTTGGCCCTTTATGCTAATAACTGTTTTACTACAGTGTCTCTCTGAAGGTTTTACAGTTTAATTGGGAAACCAGACAAAAGGTGGGAATAGCACAAAAGCAGCAGAGCTGAAGTGACTCCTTAAGGTCACACCGTAGCTCAGTGGCCAAGCTACAAAAAATACACACATCTTTTTGGTCTCTGTTGCCATGACTCATCCTCCAGATTGTGCTGCAGACGGGCATTGATATGAACTTCCAAATAATAATAAGGTTTTAAACTGTATTTTGAAGGTATGTGAGCTGCCAACTGGGCTTGTTCGCATCCTAATGCTTCCTGCAGACGGGAAATAGATTGCAATTTAATGCTTGGTGCATTTAATAGTATTATATCTTTGTCCAGAAATGTCAAAAGTAAACAGAAATTGCTTTCTTAGTGTGGATAGTTGCTTGTTAGATTTATCTGTAGGGAGTATTTTCAAAATTGACAAATTGTCCAGAATAAGTTGGAAATCAATCCACTCTGTATTGGCTTCCAGCATCCATTTGTTTGGAGGAGTGGGAAAAAAAAAGCCTCCCCACTTCTCTTTGTTGTGCAGTGATTTGTGTAGCATTAAACCTCCTGCCTTGACAGTGGAGCCTGACTGTAGGGACAGGGCTGTTGCTGGAATGGGATGTGTGAGGCAAGGTTTGATTTATGCATTTGATGACTCAGGAATTAATATTAAAAATACAATTTAGGTACAGAAAATTTGAACAACGGGGAGAAAAAACAGTGGCTAAAATCAGTGTTGTACAAATTGTACCAATTATCTTTGCATGTATTTTTTTAGCACAGGTTTAGCAGAAATATCTTCTTGGTTTGTAAGCACGAGGAAAAAGGAATATACTTTGTTGTGTAAAGCTGTTACGGATACACTCAGATTCAGTAACCAGTGCTGTCTTCTTAGGGTGACTCTTTTGGTGGGCATAAAAAGGGATCAAACACACAGCCAGTGTGATGCTGGTGCTGTGTCCCAATTAGATTGTAGCGGTTGTTAGTTCTCCTTTAGGGAGGGAACCAGCAGTGCTGGTCAGAGCTCCCTGCCTTGCTCTGTCCCACTTGTTCAGACCTGTCCTGGTCCTGTGCCATCCAACTCTGCCAGAGCAGCCCTGAGCACACACAGCTTCCCTGGGGATGGGAAAGGGAACAGCACAGAGGCTTCCCTGGAGAATATTGGTCACTGGGGGAAGTTCTTGGAACCCAGACTCAGCGTTTGAGCCCGGCAGGATCCGTGTGTTGTGGAGAAGCTGGATCAGGGGATTCGATGGAGGAAGGATGGTGGGATTAGAGGCAGAATAAAGGGGACTGGTTACCTCTGAGAGGCAGGTGATGAAATAATTTCAGTCATTGGACAATGAGCTTCACCAAAACTACAGCTCCTGTAATAAACACCCACAGAATCAGGGTAGATAGGATAGACTGATTTTTTTTATCTGATAAACTGAATGAGGAGCAGAATGGGGAAGGGAGTTTTGTGTCTGTTTGTTTTTTCTTACAGCATGGCTGCTGATAGTTCCCAGCACTGTCAAAGCATCATCTGTCGTGGAAAGAGATTTCACGTTAGGAAAAACCCATTTGTAAAGCAGGGCATGTTGTTTGGCTTTGCCCTACTTGTGGATCATTGTAATATGGTTTTGCTTTTGTGGGTTTTGTGAGTTTCTGAACCCATTTCATTTACTGAAGGAAAATGCATGAGGTTGGTTTATTCCATTATGTCTCTTTTATAGAGGCTGGGGGAGGGAAAGGGGCACTGGGCGGTGGCAGTAAAGCAGTAAGATAGTGCAAAAGCTGTTACAAATTCAATTTGCAGAAGAGCACTCACCTCCTCTGCCTTGGGAATATTCATAAAGTATTGCTGGGAGCAGCAGACCTTTGACAGATTCCAAACTAACCTGATGGTGTGAGCAAGTTTGGGGAATGCAGCGTAAACAGCAGGAGGTTTTATGTGTCTGGGGAAGAGTGGAATTACTTGAATGTTTGGGGGGTGGAAGAAATGACTTCAAAAGTGTGTGCTGGGATTTAATTCAGGTGATGCAGGGAATTGGATGTTAAGCTGTTGGAAAGGGGAAAGTAAATGCATTGGTCTGTGCCATTCTCGACTGTAACCATGTATTTCATGTTTTTTAATCTTGAAACTTGCAGTCATTCCATTGTCCTTCTCCCAAAAAGATGTCATTCAAAAAAATGGATCCGAGCTGCACAATAGGATTTTACTGTAGGACTGTGCAGGACTTTGAGAAGGCTTCTGAAGAAATCACCAAGGTAGGTGTCTGGGTTCCCAAATCACTTCCTCAGCCACGATGGTGTGTGGGGAAGGGAAGAGAATCAGTTTCTCTCTTCTAAGTAGACATAATTCTTTTTGTGATATTTGTTGCTGCTTTTATTCAGAAATGTGGATTGTTTTTCATTCCCTCTGATTTTACCACATGTAAGAGCTGGGCAGAGCTGGGGGTTTCCATGGGAGCTGCTGCTGGAACCGCGGCAGGAGGGGCCCACGAGGTGGCACTCGTGAAGTGGGAATGTTCCCGAGCCAGCCCTGCCGAGGAGGGATGCCCCAGCCCGGGAGGGATGTGAGGAGGCAGCCCGTTCCTCGGGAGGGATTGGGTTGGAAATGGCAGTATTTGATCCAGCCCAAATAGTGTATTATTCCTGGTTAGCTCAAGTGCTGTTTCTGATGGCATTTAAGGGCAGTGTGGGGATGGTTTGGAAACATAGTTTGAGGTCTGTGGAGCAGGGATCACCCATCAAACCTGTCTGATCCTGGAAGAACACTGGTATAGCTTAATTTAAGTCCAAATGTAATTAACTTTTTTCCTCCTTGATTATTACACTATGTGAGGGATTGAAATGCAGCATCATTTGTTTTCTGAGCTGCAGCAGCAAAAAACTGTGGTGATTTTAAAACTAGTCTAAGAAAAGGATGCAGCAGCAGAAGATGGGCACAATATCAACCACAGCAGTTATCACAGCAGCACAAGAAATTAACGTTTGTACAGCATTTGGAATGTCCCGTTAACTGGTATTAGTACTAGAACCAAAAAGGCGTTTTTTTAAACTTAATAGTGTTTATAATCTTCATAGGTATTGAATTATGCTGAAGTTGTTTCTTTGGTTCTTACCCAGAGAGGTAGAAAATAGATTTAAAGAAGTAGAAGTGAATAATTTCTTGGGATTGTTATACAGCTGCATCTGCTCAGGTTCTTAGCACAAATGAGAGGTTTTCCCAGGAACTGGACTGATGGAAGATTCAGTTCAGAATTAATTGTTGTGGCAACAACAGTGACAGTCTAACACTGGAGTACTAAAAATATTCATGTTTATCAATAAACTTCTTTAGATACCACTGTGATGATTTCTGCACGTTCTTCAGAGGTTCAGATTCTCTGTGCTCTCTGGTGAGATGTGCCTTGGTGACAGTTCCAGGAGTCTGAACCTGGTCCCCTCAGCTCTCATTTGGGCATTTCCCTGCCCAATTCATGTTCTGTACTTAGTGTTTCATCGCCTCCCGTAGCACATGGAGAGACGTTACTTCCTGTGGAAAAGGAAGTTTCATGGAAAGCTGAGCACAGACAAGGCAGTGGAACCACAGGTGTGTTTCTACCCTTGTTTGGAGGGACCATCATTGAAGGTGCCTTGTTGGATTGGGCACTGGGATGAAGCTTTGGGATGAGTGTACTCTTCCAAACATTACAGCGGCTAAATTCAATTAAAATAGACAAGAATAAAGTAAAAAACTTCAGATCACAGTAAAAATGAAGGATTTTATTCTGATTAATTTTTTTAATTCTTTTTTTTAAAATATCCACTCAATCCCTGACTGCCATTTTATAAACAGTTTTGATGATTTTTGTAGGAGGTTTTTTACTGTTTTAGATGGGTTATTCTCATGAAATCATGTGCAGTGATTTTTAGTTCCACTCAGGTGTATCTCTAGGGTGATGTAGTTCTGCATGTCACTGCAGCACTGGGCTGTTTTTTTAAAGCAGGTAAGAAAAATTGAAACAAATTAAAAAATAAATCAGTGGACAAAACACCCTGAAAGGCTGAGTTGTCTTTTAGTATTTGGCCAGTTTTTATCTGCTATTAAAGGTGTTTTGCTGGTCTGTTTCAGTATTTATCATTCACTACCACCTGCTTTCTCCATGCTCAGTTTTCTTCTTTATAAATGTAGATTTTGGGCACCCTGGTTCCCTCAGCCTGTGACTGTCATGAATCTGGTTTGAGCCACATGCTCCTGACTGGCTTATTTACATGGGAGTATGTGTTTGAACTTTGAATAAAAACATTGATTATTGTATGTGCTGATCCTACAATAAAAACACCTCCCCAAGGTGCTTAGTTGCTGCAGAATTCATACCTGTGCTTGAGGAGAGTCTTGTGGCCATTAACTATTTTGTAGAGGGTTTTATCTTCTATCTTTTATCTTTTTTATCTTTATCTTTCTTACACTGAATCAAACAGCAGGTACAGGTGATCTGTGAGGAACAAAATACAGGGTTAGGCCTGAAGAAGAAATGGAAGTAAATGTTTGTCTAATAGGAGGGGGAGATGTTTAGATGGTGCAATGCTTCTGTTTTAATGAGATAATAAAGATAACCAACCAATGCATTTTTTACTTTGCAGTCATCATCAGAGAAATATCACTACTTACTGAATTTCTTAATTTCAATTAACATTTCTTGGGGTTTGTGTTTTACATTGTAGATGCTGAAATCTTCATCCAAGGAGAAATATCCTTTGTTTACTTTTGTCAAGGGTCATTCTAAAGACTATGACTTTGCTTCTAGTCCACTCCATGAAGAAAATGACCTTTTCTCTGAGGATGAAAAGAAGAGATTAAAAAGATTTAGTACAGAGGAGTTTGTCTTGCTTTAAGGACGTTTTCCATGAGGTTATCGGCAGCTGTCCAGGAGAACACTTGCCTTTTAAAAGATAAAAATGTACATGTCCTCCTCCCCCAGAAAGGCAAGCTTGGGTCAAATTGGTCTATTTTCATAAAGATGATAATGTTTTATATGTTAATTGTCTTTAAAATGTCATTTACTAATGTATGTACTGATTAGTTTTGCTCACTCTTTGCTCAGAACAAGGTGTGCTGAGGTGAGCCTGGGCTTCCCCTCTTAAAAACCTTGGCTATTCCCTAAATCCCACCCTGTGGCCCTCATGTCCTTCAGTCCAGGCCAAGTCCTGGTGGGTTTTGGATGCATATCCAGAGGTTTGGAGACCATGTTATTCCTGTTTGTAAGCAGAAGTGGAGTTGTATCCTGTGGGAGGGGTCCAAGTCTCCCCTGTGTTGCCCCAGCAGGAGTTCCTGCTGCCATCCTGACACATCCTGCACAGCTCCATGCAGGAAAGGTGAGACTGATGGATCGGGAGTCACTGTCAGCTGCAATCCTGACATAATTATATAGGCTGAATTGTGAGTTAAGGTACTATTTAGCAGTATGATTTTCTAATGGTTTCTCATTAAGCTTGCTTTGGAGCCTTAATATGAGGAGAGAAGATAAAGTATTACCTTTCCCCACAATTTTTAAAGGTTATACTATTAATATTAACTGCAACCAATCAAAGCAGCTCCAAACAATTATTAGAGGAGAGCAGTGTTTGTTTCCTGTTTCAACTACCATAATGGTGAGGCTTCTCCTACTAGTGCAGCTTTTAAATCAAAGCAAAGGGGGGTGGATGTGAGAAATTCTGGGCTGTGATTATGATTTTTTTGTTTTGATACGTGTTGTTACTGTACAAATGATTACTTGATGGTGTGTGTTCTCAGATTGCAAACAAATGTACAGAAATAGTTTAATGTTTTAACAAAGCAAATGCAATATTTAAGAGACATATTAACGCTGCTTAGGAAATAAAAAAGGTGTGGAAACATGAAGTGCATGTGCCTTTTATATTAATATTAGATCCTCTAAGAGGGAGTATAATCCTGCATCTAAAACAATATTGTAAGGTGTGAATACTCTGTTTATTTGCAATAAAGGCAGATTTTATTGTTGTGTTGTAAACCAAATGTTACCTGTTCTAAGTGCTGTTCAGGCACAGAGGCACAAGTGTTGCTGATTCAAATAATAAGCATCACATGTGTTCATTAAAGCACCTTTTATGATTTCAGGCAGAACTAAATCAGGTCTGTATCTGTGTGTGCATTAGCAGTGTTAATTAATACTCCAAAAAGCCAAAATGAGATTGTGTTCACTTGTTTTCAAGATTAAAAAAACCCACATAACATTTGTCTAAATTAGTAACCTCTGCACTGCTGAATCCTACTAATAATTAGAATAATATTACTTTTTCTAAGCTGTGTGTGAGGATGTTTGGCTTGATCTTAATATTTTTCATTAATAGCCCAGAAGAGGGAGTAAACAACGTATTTATGAAATTTAGATGTCAAAATGAGGAGAATTGTGAATGTCAGTGAGAACTAAAAAGAGGAAATTCCTGGTTAGTGGAGCACAAGGTAATGTAGCTTTAGCAAAAACAATGCAAACCCTCTGAGTGGTTCCTTTGGGTGACAGTGGCCAGGAAATTAGACATGAAGTTGTACTTTGCTTTCACATTTTAAAAAAGCAAAGCAATCGTATGCTGCATCATTAAAAGCTTCTGTCACAGAGCAGGGGGGGATAATTGGTGTAATCTGGTGTCACTGATGCTCTCCTTTCTGCTTCCCTTTCCACCAGGAAGGCATTAAATGATTAGAGTGCACAGAAGAAGAGGGAGAACCATCAGGAGCCTGCAGGGATGGATTTAAGGAAGATTTAACTCAGAGCTCTGTGGCTCTGTTACTGTACAGCTGAAGAGGGAGGGAGGGAGGGAAGCACTGCAGTTTACAAATATGTAATGGATATGCACTGAGAGGGAGAGGAGTTGGAGAGAATGTTCCATATCCAGGAATCTTTGTACCTCTCTGTGAGCTGTGCACTTCCAGGTACCTCGTGGACCACCCATCCCACTGCAGAACAGGAGCTTTAGCTCAGATGGGAACTGAAGGAGGAATTTCCCTTCTTCCACAACTGCACTTGAATTTAGGTTCTTAAAATAATCCCACATGCACAGACCCACCTAAGCTAGTTGTGTCTGCAGGAATGACCTTGGGTCTGGAATTATAATGAAAATGCTCAAATGGAAGTATAAAAGCTGTAATATGGAATTGTTAAAAAGAGAAATGTAGTTCTTCCATCCCAACAGCAAGCTTCCCTGGAAGGGTGAAATAAGAGGTTTCAATTGTCCCAGGCTTTTGGCAGCTTGATAAAGAAATGTAATGGTTGAAATACCTTTGCTGAACTTATTTAAATAGTGGAATTTTTTTCCCCCTTTTTGACTAGGGACAAGAAAAATAGCAGTGCTAGAACAGCAGCTGGGTTTTGGTCCTTTAATTTAAATTTAAATCTAAATTTAAATCTTATTTTTAAATTCTTAAATCTTATTAAATTTAAATCTAAATTTAAATTAAAAATAAAGCAAATCCTTTAGTTTACCACAAAGGATAGAAAACACAATGGGTTTTATTTGAAGCCTGCTACAAATAATTGTTAAAAATTAATGGCTATTTTCAGGGGTTTTCTTCATGATTTTTGTGCAGGGGTGAAGTACAGACAAGCCCACAAGATGCCTTGGTACACTTGTGTATAGTGGTGACAGAAGTTAAATTACCAAGTTACTAGAAATTAATGTTTTTGGGTAACTACAGGGGACTTTAATTGGAAACTATGTTAATCGTGGAGTAATTCTCTTTACCTCGTCTGCATTAGCTCCTGAAAACCAAGCAATTAATTTGTGTCATCACTGTTGCTGCTGCTGCCTTCAAACACAAACCAAATGAGCATTAGTTACTCACACACCCAGCAGTGGCCTCTTTTCTTAAAGGACTTCCACAAATCATGGGCTGATTACTCACCTGCCTGTTGGAACCTGGGTGGGAGATGCAAAGTCTGAGCTTTTCATCACCCAACAACCTTTTCTTTTATTCTTTTCTGCCTTTTTCCTTAGAAGGAGCATTTCTTTAAATGGAAATTTCTAGAATGGCCATTTAGGAGAGGGATTTATTTACTGATGTTGGTAGAGACAGCTGACCTTGGAGAGAAACAGCCTGGTACCAGCAGAAGTGCTTATTTCACAGAATCACAGAGTGAGACTGGTTTGGGTTGGAAGGGACCTTAAAGCTCATCTTGTTCCAACCCCTGCAGGGCAGGACCACCTTCCACGAGACCAAGTGGTTCCAAGCCCCATCCGAGGGATGTTGTGATGCCTCTCTTTAAAGACTTATTTTCGTTCTCTCCGGTTGCCTGTGCTTCAGCAAAGCTGGAAAACTCAGCCCACCCTGATTTGTTACTGTCTTTTTAGGTTTTTTTTCTTTAACTCACCCCTCCAAACCCAGAGCAGTTCAGTTGTGCCCAATGCAGCCAGAGGGCACAACAGGGTGTGTGGGAAGGCATGGAAGGGATCTCCTGTTCTCCTTTAATTACAGTAGGAAAATGGCCTCACTCCAGAGACCTGATTTATTTCCAGAGTTATTGACAATCTCTTAAAGGGAATGATGGGATGAAAAGCGACCATCAGTGAGTTATGAAAGGTCAATAATGCCACAAATGAGCACAAACAGCAGGTTTGAAATCCAGCCCATCCTGGGTTCTGTTTGTGCAACGATTCCATCCAAGGTGAGGGGTTATTTTGAGGAGGCTGGAGCACCAGCTCTCCTTCTGCCACAGGAGCCTCCAAGAGGGCAAACATGCCAGGTTACTTTGTGGCCCTTTAGCACCCTCAGCTGATTCCTATGGGATGCATTTCCCTAGGCCTGCATGGGAGGCCATGGAGCACAGTCGGGTACAGCACTGAGCAGGATTTCAGCCCAGCATTCCTTACGGGATCCCCGTGGCTGGAGCCTCTGGCAGCACCAAGGTGTTACAGCCTCCCAGCAGCTTGGTTAGGCTGTGCCAGCATTATATAAAGGGATCTTAAAATGTTGATGTCTTATTTGCCTTGACAGAAACACGAAAAGAGGCATTTGAGGGAGTCAGGATCAGGCCCTCATGGCTTGGCCCTGTGATTTGGTATCTCCATGAGATGGTTCTGTTGCCTGATTGGATGAGTTGAGCTCTACAAACAGTTCCCTTCCCTGTTTGTAAGCAGTTCACGGGCAGCTGTAATTGTTTGGATCCACGGTGTGAATAGTAAAAAGAGCTTTACTTAATGACTGCAGGAGCCCTGCTCGAGTGAGAGCTCTCTGGTATTTATTCACACCAGAATTCACGAGGCTTTTGTTTTCCATGAACACTCCTGCAAATAAAAACTTGCTCACTCTAATGTTTATGAATAAATGTGCTCGTAAATGCCATCAAAGCAAATCAGCAGGGTTTTATTTATGCAAGAAGATGCTCAAATAAATGTTTGCTGTTTTCACCCAGCTCTGGTGGGTGTTTAGGCTGTGTTACAGCCAGGGCTTTGTGAGCTCTGCTCAGCATTCACACATTACTCTTACTTTCCGTCTCCTGCTTTCCTACACTCTGCTCCTCCTGGTGAATCCCTGTGCCCCAAGGGAACATTGTTAAAGTCAATGTTTTAGGTATTATCCACATCCAGCATCTTGCTGGGTCAGTGGATAAGGTCATGCAGGGGAGTGGGATCACTTGTAGGATGCCCAGGATTGAGAGGACAGGAGGCAAAGGGGATTGCAAGTGCAGCCTCTTGCTGTTTACACACAGCAGATACCCAGACCAGCTTTTTCGGCACGTGCTGGCTCCTGCAGCAGGGTGGGGGTTCTGTCTTGCACAGAAGTGCAGGAGGTTTATTGCCATCCTGTCTCAATCAGTGCCCTAATTAAATATAGGAGAGGATTTTCTTTCTAAAATGTAAATGTCAAGCCTTGTTAAAGAAAATTAAAATGCACTGAAATGAATGTGATAGGAACTGTGGAGGTGCTTAAGTGAGAGCATCTGTATTTATTAGGAAGGGAACTAAAAAAGGAAGTATTTTTGGATCAGAGTTCAATCCTTAAACAGGGCCATAAGGATTTTATGCAAATTTCCCTTCAAAATCTGCAATTAGGAACTGGTTCCAGAGGTGAATTCTATGTCCCAGCCTATAAAAACTATAAAGGAATATAATCTGAGATTCACCTGTTTCCAGGATTTATCTGTAAATCTCCTGCTCTTACCAAAATCGTTTGGGATTCTGTCCTGGCCATGGTTTCCGTGAGTTGGACTTGAAGATTCAGGTTGTTCCCTTCCATTCCCTTGTTCCCTTGAACAGCAGCACAACAGTTCAGAACTTTAAAAACCTACATTCAGCAATGTGATCATCCCCATTTACAAAAAAACCTTTATGAAGGCATCTGACTGTTTCAACCACAGCAAGCCTGAAGCAGGAGAGTAAATCAGAACTTGCAACAGTCAAAACCAAAGTCCTGGACAGGAATTAGGATGGGGAATTCCAACAGAAAACTGAATTGTTTCAAAGGCTTATGGGGAAGAGCTTCAGCTGATCACAGAGATGCTTCAGCTCTGAAATGTGATCTCAACCTCACCAAGGCTGAAACTTCAGCTGCGTCTGTGCCTGCCCTGGAGCAGGTGAAATGTGCCTTTGCATGGCAGTGAGGGAACACAAAATACAGCATTTTTTAGGTCCAAGCTCATGTCTTTGCAAATATATCAAGTTTTTTGGCCTTCACAGTCCAACCATTGGTTTGTTGTTTCCATGCTAATACAAATTCTTGTGTTAATAGGAGCATGGCCTTGGGTTTCTCCATCCGTATGGGAAAAAGTTACTTGTCTGATGGTAAACAAAGAACAGAAGAATCGATTCACTGTCCTCACTTTTAAAAAGATGGTATGAAGCCATAGTGAAGCAATTTTAATTGTGCCTCTGTAACACTTGGGATCAGTAAGATCATTTGTGTTCTGTTTTTAGGGATCAGGGTGCTCCGGAGCACACACGGCATTAGAAATGCAAAACATGACCGCATGTTCTCAGGGCTCTGTCAGAGGCACATGAAAGAGCACTTGTGCTGGGATGCTCAGCTCTGAGGGTATTCTCTGTTCAGTGTGTATTTACAGAGATGTATGAATATTTGATTAATGAGTCATGGTCTCTGGAGAAATTTAATAACTGTGCTGCTGTACAAAGCCAGCTCCTTCACTGTTAACACAGCTGCCAATAGTGTCACTGACACTGGAGCCCTTTCTGCATCTAATGTATGCTGGGGAGTAAATTCCTTCGTTGCAAGAGAATCCATGGGACACATTATTCAGTTATCTGTTTTGAACTGTTGCAGGCTCAATTTACAGCCCCTGATTTGTAAAGATTTTTCCAATGGAAATAAGCAGTGACACGTGAGCCATAAAGCAGCAGTTTCACGAGGCTGTGTTGTTCCAGAAGTTAGTGGGAAGGTCAGTTCAAAAGGAGAGTTGCTTTGAAAATTCAGTTTATAAAATGTAAAAGGAACAATGGATGAAAATATTCGTGGATAGCAGAGTGCTCCAGCAAATTCTTGCTGCCTTAAAAGCTGTGTTCAGTGGGATTTCTCCCATTGTGAGGAGAGGTTGTTCAGGGGTACACAACTCACGGGATGGGGCAGAAGTTTTCTCCCTCTGTGACACCAGACCAGAAGTGATCTTCATTGTTGCCGAGCAGTTTCCCAAAAATCAGTTGCTGCTAATTTTATAATTTCTCCATTTTTATCCCTAATACCTGTGAAGAGATCAATTTTCACTTAAGAAGTTAGGGGTATATTTTAGTGGTGTTACTCCAGCTCATCTGCCTTAAATAATAGGGGGGAAAGTGTCAAAAAAAGATAAATTTAGTGCAGAGGCTTTCACTAGAAGCTTTAACTGCAGGTGAGAATTATACATGCTATGCAGAATTTCCTGCAACACTTCTCCTTTGGGCCACAATGCATTACAGCAGACGTATAATGAAGCTGCTATAAAATCCGTGGTAATTAAGGGGGATTTGACAGTAATTGCAACAGTGAATCAACTTAATTATTACCTGCTTCAAAGAGAGCTAACCTGATGTTATAATCTAACCTTTCCTACTTCTAAAATGAGAGATTAAACAAGTATATGTAGCATTTAAGAATTAAATCTGTTGAGATAGAATTATAATAATATACTTTTCATATACATTTTATATCTATGTGTGTGGGTGGGTACAAAGCAGCAAAAGGAGCAGCACCATAAACTGACAAGCTGAGTGTGTGCATTCATAAAATAAACAGAACTGAGGTGAGCCAGCTCCTCTGCTGTTTGCTGAAAGCAGGGGGACCTGGAGACAGAATGGTGCTATAAAACCCTACGACACACACAAGCCCAGTTCCTTGAACAGCCTTGTAAGGGGATGTGGTGGATGTATTGTCTTTCCATGCCTAATTTAAAGCAAACTTCTGAAACACGTTTAAGGTTGGCTGTAAAGCTGCAAAAGGGGGAAGGTGCTTGAGGGCTTTGCAGCCCTGCTCACACCCCCCTGCTGTGGCAGCCCCTGGGATGTGCAGGATGGGAGGGTCAGGTCACACAACACAGAGGAGGTTCTCCTTTGTCCAAAACTGGTTTGCTGGTTTTCAGTGCCCTTGAGCTAAAAAGAAGCTTTTATAATGTCTTACAATGGCTTTGAAGCTGGGACCTGGGCTACAGAGCTCCATGGATTAGAATCATAGAATCATGGAATGTTTCAGGTTGGAAAGGCACTTCAAGACCATCGAGTCCGACCATTCCCCCAGCGCTGCCAAGCCCACCCATGTCCCCAGGTCCCCCGAGTGCTCAGGACTCAGAGCAGTTCCCACTCTTGGTGCTGCTGGGAGAGTTTTACAGTTCAAACGCTGCTGCCTCTCTTACAGAGTGATGTCCAAACCTCCAGGTGTTTCCTCTACCCTGCCTTCAGACAATCATCATAATCATCAGCCAGAAACAGCCCAACATAACATGGCTCTGATCAATCCCGGCCTGAGCAATCCAGCTCTTTCACCTCCTGCAGCAGGTTTAGGAACCCATTCACTCAGGGTCTACTGACTGAGCCCATAAATCCAGTCATCCCTGTGGCCTTTGATTTCAGTGTTTTTGGGATGTGTTACCTCAGGGCAGGGGATTGTCAGAAGATCACTGATCCAAACCCTTCTCCAAACTCTTCCCCGGAGTTGTACCTGGCTGGTACATACTGTGCTGTACCTGTAAAGCAGGTGGAAGGTAAGAGGTGCAATAATAAAGCATTAGCTTAGAAATTCCCACTTGGAATGTGCCTAATGTGGGACAGACTACAGTAAACCCAGGGTTGTCTGTTATTCCTTGTCCCTCTTCCTGGAAGCTGCTTGAGGTTCTGGGGTTCCAGGGCTGTGTCCTGGTGCCAGCAGTGGCTCTGCTCGTGTGTAAGGAGAGGGAATGGCAGACTTTAAATAACAAATTTTCACTGATGCCTTTTGCTATTTTTACAACACATTTTAAAATAAATGAGAGATTAACACAGAAAAAAAGTCCTTCAGGTGCATGCTCAGGAACTATTTTTTCATAAGGTTTTAATGGATTCAGGGTTGAGCTCCACTAAAATCTGGATTTATTAGAAACGCTCTGTGCATTTCAATGGAGTTTTTCTCATGAATCTGGACATTTTACATTATTTCAATAGAGCTGACCCTCTGTTTCATTAGAAATGCTCCAATATAACCCATGGAGCATTTCTAATGATTCTGGTTTTACAGCAAATCCAAGGGTCAGCTGTACTGCAAACAATGGTGCTAACCTCTAGGTTTATTAGAAAAATGCTTTCTGTCTCAATGGAGCATTTCTAATAAATCAGATAAATAGGGATCTCCCACAAAAATGCTCCACTGGTGAAATAGACAAATGAGGGTCATTGTTACTGAGATTTTTTAAAAAACAAAGATTGTTTAATAGACTTCTTTGTTGCTCTTTGCGGTGTGATCCCCTCCTATCCAGAGTTTAGGTCTTTACCGTGAAGAACTTAATAAATATTCCATATAATTCCATCAGAAACAAGCACTGCTGCCTCCAGCTGCCAAGCATTTTTCACCTCACCCATGAAGACACTAAAACAAGGCCAACTTCCATGATGGATCTGTGGTTGCCAGGTTGGTGTTCAGGGGCTTGGTGCTGTGCCAGGAGTTGGGATGGGTCCTTTCATGCTCTGCAGAAATGGGAAGAGAGGGTGAATGTCACAACAGCTCAGCACTGGGGGTCACCATTGACCCACTACAGGTGCACGTGACATTGAACAGCAGCAGATGACAGGGAGAAATTTTTAGACCTTTAAGTTTGCTTTTAGTCCAAATTTCTTCTAATTTCAACAGAAAAAAGTTTGTCATTAAATGCGTGGGCCACAGGAAAAGATAAAAAATTACCTCACACAGACGATCTCAAGAGGCCTCTCTCCACATCAGGTCATGGACAAGTTACAACTTGTGGGATGAAGCTGCAGAGACCCATCACCATCCCTCTGGATCTCCTCCTGGTGTATGGGTGAGTGCTCGTAGGTACCTATGCACAGGCTCTTTGGAGGTTTGGGGAGCCTATCCACGTCAGGAGAGCCCATCTCTGTGCAGGCAGGCTGGGCACAGAGAGCCCATCTCTCTGCACTGAGAGCCTGGATGTGAAACCTGCTCCTCAGCAAGAGGAGATCCTGCATCGTGGTGCCATCAGGAACAGGAATCCGGGGCATGCACTGATGACCTCATGTTGATCCAGTCCAGGAAGAGTAAATGCAATGCTGTGAAACGCAAAAAAAGCCTTGGTAAGCTGAGACAAAGCTTTCTCTTTGAGAGGAAAGGCCAATGAGATAATTTCAGTGACTCAAGATTTGGTTAGAATGTTCTATATTTATGGAGTATATTCTGTCCTGTCCAGATTTCCCTGTGGTTCAAATACCACACAGTTACTGCATTTGGATTCCCTGTTCTGTCTCTGTGAATTGCAAATCCTTGGCTAAAAGCCAGTTAGTCTGTCTGAACAGTATTCCAGTCTTCTGCCCTGCACTCCCCAACAACTTCAGGAAATCTGCTGACCAGTTTCTCTGAAAACCTGAAAATAAAACACGCCGCAGTGGTGACAAATCCACAAACCTAGAGACTCCACTTTAAAAATGATTGGTGTGTCTGAGTGCACTCTTTATTTTTTCTTTTTGTCAAGTTGGATGATTTTACCCAGCAGCAAAAACAGAGAAATCCACAATGGAGTCAAACAAAAGGAATTTTACCTAGAGGGGTGCTGGATGTCTGCCCTCTGCCTGGTGCTGGAATATGGGATTGTGGCAGTGTGGAAAGATGCAGAACTGTCCTTCATGAGGATCAGAGAGTGTGAGCACCACTGATTTCCCTGTTCCCTGGCTTCTCCCTACACGAGTTCCTGCTGCAGCACCAGTGTCCTCTAAATGATAAACAAGTTCTGTAGCAAAAAACTGCAGGTCAGGGCAGGAGCCTGCTCGATCAGGGGGATTATAGCAGAACCAGCAATGGGATTTCAAGGCTTTTCCTACCCCAGGGGCACTGGAAATATCAGCACCAGGCCCACTCCCCCTCCCCACTCAGATGAGCCTCAGCAGTTCATCATGTCAAGTCTTGCTGCTGAGTGCTGTGTCTGGGGCCTCTGGCTGTCAGAGGCAGGATTTCATCCTGGGCTCCCTAAGGCCATATAGAAAGCCTAAAATGTTCATTTATGTTGCTTATTGTCTGGCCAAACCTGTGTGTGCTTAAAAAATATCTGGAAGTTTGAAGGCTGATCCCTGATTGTCATGGTTTAGAAATTTAGTTGTTATTTTAAAAAGTTAAATATGTTTATTGTTATGAACGGCAATGCTTTTGTCAACTCTTAGTGCTCCTACATAAAGTGTTTATATGTGAGATGTTTCCTTCTGTGATGTGACTTCCTGAGCTCAGTCTCTCTCATTATATTTTTTCTAAAAAGATAATATCACTATACAAGTCTAATTCAGAGATATCTGTAAACATGTTATACGGAGAGCACAAATATTTGTGGATGTGGGAATTTGTACCTTGGCTTGTCAGAATTTCTGTGTTTGTGCACATATATTTCCATGTTTGTGCACATACACTTCCATGTTCATACCCATATATACTGTAGAACAGTATTCCCATAATAATCAGTGTGGGCATAAGTGTTTATAACATATAGATTTATTTGCTTTATATATTCAATGTACCTGCATAGCCAGGACTTCATCTGCTGCTCAGAATTTATTCCAGCTTTCCACACGAGCTCTTTCAAACAATGCTAATTGCTTCAGAACCAAGATCACTGATGATAACTCTTTTAGGAATTGTCATGTTGTCTATAAATATTTAGCTGGATTGTATTTGCCAATGTACCCCTGTATTACAGATGAAAAGGCAGCATCTGCCGAAATTAAAAGTGGCCGCGTTTTCGCTGTGGCTTAATTAAATGCCAAAATTTATCTACATTAACAACAAAGTGGCGAAATTTATTGATCAATTCACATGATATAAGTTGACAAATGGCCCGAGCAATTTCCATAATTTTCTACACGTGTTAAAATTTGTAATGAAACAGGAATACTTTATCAGCAGGAGCTGTGGGTGGGAGGGGGCCGGGCTGTGCCCCGGGGCGCTGAGCTGAGCTCGCTGTCCAGCCCAGGCTCTGGGAGCCGTGTACAGATGGGCCTTTGACAGTCCTACAGCTGTTCTCCTAATTGTCCATTAAGTGTTCTATTGATTCTCTGATTCAAAGTACATGTCTTTCAGCCCAGGCTATCGTGTGAAGTGGCAGACACATTCCTCCTAGAATGACAGAGCTGCTTGAAACCTAAAAATGTGGGCTGCCAGTTCCAATTGAGGAGCCCGCTTTCAAAGGGAAGGCTTGGTTAAAGGAGCTTTGTGAGTGCGCCTTAGATTTGAGTTTCTAAACTTTTAGCATCAATCAATTAAAGCAGCAGCAGCAGCAGGAAAAGTTGTAATTCCTCGTTAAGGGTTTGCACGTGGCTGGTAAAGCTCTGCCTAAGGATCCCTGCTTGTGATAATAAGGATTAGATCTTGTTTAGCTGCATGTAGATTTTATCCTCAGCCCTCTCTGACATATGCAATGATATTCTCATTTGACTTGCAAGTTCACTTTTAGCATTTTTTTAAAGGAAAATCATCTGCAATTCCGGCTCATGCCAGTCAGGAGCCTGTTTAAAATCATCTGCCTTTAATCTGAAGAGTGAAGGATAAGATGCATATCTGTTGCAAGGACCATAAATCTTCAAAGAAACAAATAGCCACAGATAAAACTGTAAAAGTTATTTAGTTCTCTTCCAAAAGAGGTTTATTAATCTAAAATTTCCAGTCCATTGTGTCATGATTTGGTTATCTCACTGTATTTCATTTCCTGCAATTGTATAAGCCTTGTGTATCAAGCAAAGAGATGAGAGTCTCAGAGCTTAAACTTGATCACTTGTGTTCAGATCTATCACTAGAGCCAGGGGGAAAAAGAAGAAATATAAAAAATAGCCACCTGAACTACCTGAGAGATTTGGACTGTGAAGATTTTTATTCCCATTTCCTCATATTTTAATGAGATGTGTATGAAGTGCTTTTATTATTAAATTTAAACCGAATTTTAAATCCTTGTTTGTCTTTTTTAATTTACAATTCCTAGTAGAAAGAACACAAACAAAGTGTTTATAGATTTACTGCTTGGGAACCACCCATGGGGGTTGTGCACAAAATGAGCTCTTCCCATGTGCCACCAGTTTCAGTTGCCTTTATATTTTTCTTTTTTAAAATCCCCATCATTTAAAAGAGACATAAAACTGTTTTTGATAAAGCTTTAAATAAGGAGAATTATTCCTCATTGAGAAGATTTTTATCTTTATAGTTAATGAAAAGCCACTTTGCTGGGAGTGTATAATATCTTATTATTCTTTATTCACCCTCTTTACATCCTTGCCCACGTGGGTGTTGCACCCTAGTTGCCTCTGTATGGTTTTGTGTCTGAAAACCTTTACCCCCAGTCCCTATTCCACAGATTCACCAAGTGGGGCAAACAGATGACTTGGACCCATCAATCAAATTAGTTACAGCCTTTTAATTTAAACAAGAAGCTGATTTGAACAGAACTAGAATTTTTTTTTTTAACCTTAACCTATTTGGGACATCAAATTTACAAGCAAAGGCAATGTTTAATCCTAAGAAGTGAGAGTGAAAACTCAGATGGGGATTCCAAGAATACAAATGAAATTTCTACTCATACATCAAAGGCACACAAAGAAAAGAAAGGGGCGGAAAAAAGAAGTGAAAAAAAACGAAAGAAATGGTATGAAAGGGGAGGCATTTGACATTTTATAACCAGAGTTTCTCTCTCTATTCCATAAAAAAGAATATGTGTCAAATTAAAGAAATAGTGTAGGAAGCTGTAGTATATGTTCCCAGGCATTTCTCATTTTAGGAATGTAAGACTGGGGCAAACCCAATAAAAGCCCCTGGCACCAAGGGGACAGAAACCATCCATTTGTTTTCACCATCCGAAGAGGAAACTGGAGAGTCTCTCTAATATAATAAACCATTTATTGACACCTGCAAAACACTTTGTAAATCCGCCTCAACCCCAGTGCTTTCAATTACATCAGCAGCCAGTTTTTTAAAAAGATTTTTAGAAGCTTTCAAGTGTGGACTTTCGTCTTGTTGAATGAACTTCAGCTACACTAAATTTTAAGTAAATTTGTGATGACTGAGCAATATACATTGGCTGAGCTAGAATCCAATAACCCACAGGACAAATTAATTTTCAACAAAAAGGGCAGAAACCTCAAGTGCCATGAGTATATGGAATCTCAGTCTATCTCTCTGGAGCCATTTTTGCAAATCACTACAGCTATTCATAATCTAAATCAGTCTCCTTTAGCAGCAGAAAGATCTTTTTTCATGACAAAACAGAAGATGACATTCATTAGTGCCTAACTTGCATAAGCTACCTTAAATTTATTGGTGCTCTTATACTTATCTGGGTAAGAATTCCTTTGTCTACAGCTATAGGAAAATTCTGGACGTACTACTTAAAAATATAAATTGTCACTTTTATCAGAACTTTTGGCAGTTTACTTTATTTTAGAAGTAAAACTGGTGGTTAAGGTTTTAAGGCTTCCAATGGGCGTTGTTTCAATCATGGTTAATCTACACCCAGGATGGCAATACTGATACAAGGGAGCAGCTGGACAAAAATCCAGGGAACTACCACCGCCTGGAGCACCAGGCACTAACTTTTCCCTGGGTTGAAGTACAACTTATGGCATTACAAGAGAATCCTATGACCTATGTGTGGATTCAGGGTAGCAAAACAAACCCTTGGCTGATGTAGTACATAATTTTCTGGGCAGTGTCTCCCTTTTCTCCTGTGATGGATAATTTCTTACATGGAAGTTCATAGAATCACAACATGGAATCACAGAATGGTTTGAGTTTAAAGTGACCTTAAAGCTCATCCAGTTCCACCCCCTGCCATGGGCAGGGACACCTTCCACTAGACCAGGTTGCTCTAAGTCCCGTCCAACCCGGCTTTGAAGTCCTACCAGGCTACATCAACCCACCTGCAAATATCCCAAATCCTACAGGAACTGCAGAGCCTGATTATTGTTAAAATGCACATCAAGTCAGTGTATAGGAAATAAAATATAAATGGATTTGCTTTAATGTGATGCAAGTGAATACTGGTTTTCATCCACCTGTTTTATAAACTCCATTTCCTGTCGTGGGTACAGACTGTTAATTCTTAAATGCCTTTAGCTTAATGTTTCCTACTTGGGATACAACTGCAGGAAGTATTGTGACCTAAAGATTGACATACATGTCATTTGTGCAACTGCTCTTTATTTCTTTGTGCAGAAAAGAAAGTGGAATAAGCATCTGTGGCAGCCTTTGTTACAGCCTGGGTAGAGCCAAATGATCACAGAGTCGCTCTTGCCTCAAAACATATGAACATGATTTCAATTATAACTGCTTTTATATGGTGAAAGTGGACAGGGATGTTTGAATGACAAATGAGAGAGATAAAATAATGAGAATGGTAGTGGCTGCGCCTGCTCTCTATTTCTTGATGGAATGACTTGTTGTGGTAGGTCCCACAACCCTGGAAAGTAACTACTGAGCTACTCCCAGCCTGAGGAAACAGTTCCCACAGTGGGGCAGAGGTTGCTCTGGTTCTTATTTCTACCACAGAGTTTTGGTCCTAGCAAAGGTAATGAGGAAATAAGGCTAATACTTAGCCACAGAAAACATGTCAGAATTAACATTATCTTCTCTTAGGAAATCAGGCTAGAAGAATATAATAAAATTACCATTCAAAGCTTCCCACCAGGAGCACAATATCTACTGTGTTTATTCATCAAGCACAGGTCCTGTCTTGGATGGAGTGAGAGGGATCAGATTTAGGGCTGGAAAATATAAAAGAGATATTGTGGTGTAGATGGATAAATTCTTATGAATTGTTTTGCACATTTTTTCCCCTCAAATTTGAATAGAAGTTCAGGTGAGCTCTTATTTTGGGCCATCTCTCTTTGGAAAAAGCCAGCTGTGTTATCCCTGTTTTATCACCTCCATGCTATTCCAAGCTCGGCTTCAGTGGATGACCTTGGCTGGTCATTTCCTTCCTATAAAGTGGCAATTGGGCTGTTTACTGCCTTCCCAAAAGTGCTTGGGAGCTTAATTAATATCTGCTTTGAGATCCACAAAAGGTGCTAAAGTGTTACTAGGTACCAAACTCAATCTTTGGAGCTCCAAACATGGAAGAGAAAAGGGACTCTCAGGGATCTGCCAGAAAAGTGCCGTAGGAATGCAATGATGTCCTGCCTCTGTTCCTCTTCCTGCAGTGACCCTTCCCTATCACTCTCATCTCTCTACAACAGTTTTCCCATCCAAGCTCCAAACCACCCAATGACTCTCCTCCATCCTATTTTCTTCAGGATACATAGGAGCAACACTTGCAATGGAAGAACATCACTTTGTGGAAAGGATAAGAAAGATCTCATGAGACCTGAATGTGGAACAGAAACCCTGGTGCTACTGTACACCTGGAGTGAGGAATCTGCAGCTTTTCTCAACCCCTATGATTTATGGAACATGGATGGCCATGCACTGGTGCCTCAGCTCAGCCTGGCCACGCTCCCTGCTCCTCTCACCCGAAGGATGGGATGACACATGGTTAGTCAAGAGAAGCTGCCAAGCACCCTCTGATATATAGTGAGAGATTGCGGATCACAGGACTTGTGAGGAGAACAAAATCAAGTTCTCAGCCCCCAGGCATTCCCGTATGTCTCAAACCACCCTTCCAAGAAAGTTATTATATGGGATTGGGAGCAGATCCAACCAAGCTCTAATGTTTGCTTATTATTGTCAGATTTTAAACTGCAACATGAGCAATTTGTCCTTCCTTTTGAAGCTGATTGAGAGCAGAACAAAATGGTCCAATTATAAAGTTACCATAGCTGGATCTCTTTAAAAGTGAGCCCAATTTAACTGGTTCCTAGGAAATCTCTGCTGTAATTTGGCAATCTCAGGATGGTCCTGAGGGGTGGCATAAAATAAGGAGGCGATTCCCTTCTGCCAGGCTGCTGGGTCTGCACCTTCAGCTGATAGTATTAAAATGAAGGTGAGATTTGTTTAAACCTCTTCTGAAGTGAAAGAGCCATTTCCAGCTGCTACCATATCCCAGCCTGGAGTGGCAGCAGGGAGGGGATGGAGCTGAGGGCAAATGAGATGAGATGATCCACACAGAAATTCAGCAAATTCCCATGGACCATGGGGAGGTTCTTGAAAACTGAAATCAGAGGGATTCAAACTGTCCTCTTCAAAGCATATAAAAATAATATGCTCTAAAAAAAGCAGAGGAAAAGAAGCTCTAAGACGGGAGGTGACACTGCAAACTGTTTCTTCAAGTCTAATTTTTACAGCCTTCAGAAAACCCAGGGAGCCCACGCTGCCCACCCACTCTCTTTTTCCAAAAGATTTGGGAAGTGACTTAAACATTAGTTAAAAATTTAATAAAAGCATTAATAAAAAAATTAAAAATTCATCAAAGCATTAATAAAAGTTGTATCATCTTCAACATTTATGTTAACCTACAACAGAGCTCATGTGTTTCCCAAACATGAAATACTCCAAATACTGCAGCAGGAAAGAGAGGATTTAGCTGAGGAGGGTGTTTGGTAGACAAACATAGTTGTTGGAGTGCTGTGTCTTCTCTGTGCTGTTTGGGCCTTTCCCTACCAGGGGTTTATCTCTCTCTCTGCTACAGATGCTCAATTTCTCTCCCATTTTTATCTAAGACTTTTCGAAGCCTTCAGAATGAGGGCACTGAGTCCTGAGAATGAACTTAGAACAAACAAACCCCCAGACGCCTCAAAATCAAGCACCAACAATCCAGTACCTTGGTTCCCCTGTGCTGCATCTCACCAGAATGACCCACCAGCAACTGTTCTGGCCTTGGCTGGATTTTCTCAGCTTAAAATAGAAATAAAGGCATTATGGTAACACATTTCCACTGGATCGTTTTCCTAAGTAACACACAGAGAGAGATACAAAGGCTGGGGTAAACACTCAAAAAAAAAATTAAAATAAATCAGAGAGTACCCACTCATACAAAGAAAGATTTGGGCAAGAATTACTCTGTGTGACCCAGTCTATGAGTTACCTTTGCCTACATTTACTTTATTTTTTTACATTGCCATGTCAGAGCATCCAGAACTCGACATTAGATGCAAAACAAACCTCTGCAGAGAGGTGAGCTTTTGCAAAAGGATAAATAATCCTTTTGACTTGTGGTTAACGTGCCCATTCCCTCACACTTCACAAGTGGTGAATGAGAGGTCTGATTAAACATGATACAAAAAGAGCTTGCAAGTAGCACTGTTTACTAACATTTCAATTTCTATGCCTCATTTATTAGACTTAGAATAAAAAGGTTAGAGGGGTGTTTGGGATTGTCTTTAACCTTGATGATATTTCCACTGAAGCAGCATAATGGCTCTTAATTGCTTAAGTGAAGAGAACATGTTGACATGTCCTTCTTTGTGCTTAAAGCTCTGTGCCTAAACCATTATGCTAATTCAAGCATTATATACACCAAAGTATTTATGGGACTGACACAAGTGATGTTGCAGGTAAAGGGCTGTGAAATGGTCTGTAAACAGAGAGAATTGATTCCAGGCCCAAAGCAATGCTGTTAAAGTCACAGACATTGAACAGCCAGCCCTACAATTTCTATCCAGATTGTCACACTGGGTCAGGCAGTGTCAGCAGGGCTGCTGTTATAGATCAGATGGGTGGCTTTAATAATATGTAAACCAACCACATAAACCCAAATTAACATGGAAGTAAGACTTGACTGGGCCTTTTTTTTTCCTGTGTGCAGCAGTTTTGGTCGCAGAATATTCAGTTGCAGCATTTGCTAAAACATGAACATGTTTAAAAACAGTGCAACTTACTCCTGCATTTTTCCTGCTCAGGCAACACTACCATTTGAAGGGATCACAAGGAATATGTGCATCGTGTGAATCTCTGTTCAAAAATAATAAGTCCCATTAGGGGATTTATTTGCTTATTCAAGATATGAACTGGGTAGATTATCTGTATTTTCCTCCTTTGGTCTAAGGCTAGCAGGGAGGTTTTACATGATGCTGAAATAATTTATAATCTTGCTTGTTTTGTTACTACTAACCCATAGCTTTTGGCACTGAACAGGATTTTGAATATCCAATTTCCTTTAAAACCTGCATCTAATTTATTGTTTGCATTTCAGTAATTTTAGACACCTAAATTAGACTGATCAGCTCTGCCTTTATTTCTGCTATTTTTATTTTTGGCTCTGGAGTACTTGGACTGACACTTTTCTCTTTAGTTTTAAAATAATGCAGAGTAATGTCTTAGTCTCTGTATCTTTTTTTATACATTCAGAGCAGGCATTTCACTGATTTTCTCTTTTTTTAAATGGCAGGAGAACAGTATCATTCATCCTACACCTCATATGTAGAACGTAAACCTAAGAGGGAAGTCCCATATTCACAGTATCTGTAAAGCATTATCATACTTTGGTGATTATTTAAATGACAAAATAATTTAAATAGCTTCAAAACAACAGATTTAATAACAATTCATTTTGCAAAAAGAAAAATAGAAACATTTACCTTGAATTCACTTGAGTGTCCTTTGAAGTTGATCCTTCAATGAAAAAGAAATTTGAGGTTCAATA